TTCAAAATTTGAAATTAATAGACGCACTTAGTTTGTTGAGTATGAATCACTCCCTGTTGTTTGTTTCACATGTGGTGTTTACGACCTTCACTCTGATGCTTGCCCCACAACTGTTCCATCGCCTGCCCCTTCTGAAAACCCGATGAACACAACTGACCTGCAACCTCCCCCTCTTCCTGTCCAGCACCGTATGGGCCATGGATTGTAGTCAAAAAAAGAAAAAAAAAAAGCAAAAAGATTCAAACACTAGCCAACAAAAGTGAAGCAACTGAGCTTCATCATCCTGATTCTCCCCACTTGAAGATGTTGAAGAAACCTTTCAAGCTACCACTGCTGATCACACCCCGAATCTTATCACCCTCCCCCTCAACCGACTAAACCTCCTGTTAACAAGCCACGACCCTCCAATGCCAATAAAGAAATATTGACCGCTCCTCTGCTGCTCCAAATCCAATGGGAAAGCCCCCATTACCCTCTGAAAATCGCCCGTCACTATCCTCGGGCCAAGAAATGTTTTTGTTCCCTCTTCCCGTCCTCCTTCCATGCCTCCAAATACTATTACGGCTATCACCAACTCTACCAGTTTGAAACCCTTCCAAGCACACTGCCCTTGTAATTTCCCCAGATGCCACCATGAGTGTTCCGGATCTTCCTCGAACCCTGCCACCTTCAAAACCACTTGATGCCGAATGTGTTACCCCTTACTCCGATATGCATGGCTCAGCTGAATCTCAATTGGCTCGTTGTACACAAAATCTTGATGCGTCTGTTGTTGCGGATGACCCTACAGCCACAGCCAAGTAATCTTAGCCTCACGACTTTTCTTTTGTTCCATTGTTTTTTATGGATCTCAAAGTTTTTGTTTGGAATGTTAAAGGTTGTGGTAGCAGGAATTTCCTCCGGGTCACACGACAATACTTATGGGATTCTAAGCCTGATATGTTTGTTGAAACTCGAATAAAAAAGATAAATGTTGACAAAATTATTGCTTCTCTGGGCTTCTCGAATTCCTTTAGAGTTGAAGCTCTAGGTTTCGCGGGAGGGATTTTGCATTGCTGGTATGATCAAATTCAAGTTGATATCTTGCTCCCCCATTTTCAATTTGTTCATTGCCACATTATTGATTTAAGAAGTCAGGCTCAGTCTCCATTCCTTGCTACTTTTGTCTACACCAGCCCATTGGCTCTTAAAAGACGGGTTTGTTGGTCTTATTTGGATTCTCTTGCTTCTGTGTGTTCTGATACATGGGTAATAATGGGAGACTTCAATGCCACCCTTTCTATAGAAGACCGTAATGGGTGTACCCCTTCATCCACTCCAGACGCTGCTTTTAATGATATGGTGCAAAATTGTAATTTGCAGGATCTTGGCTTCCACGGTCCGAACTTTACCTGGTTTCGGGGTAATTGTTCGGTCTGCCTAGATCGAGCATTGGGGAATAACCATTGGCTCGAGTCTTTCTTTGTCCTCTTTGGAGCATCTAACCTGCATGAAGTCCGATCATAGGCCTATCTTGTTAGCTCTCTCCTCCTCATGGCCCTCGTTATCAACCCCCTTTCGATATCTGTCAGGATGGAATCTCCATGAGGATTTTCAGTGACTTGTTAAGGAGAGTTGGAATCCATCGCTGCCTATTGCTGTTTTTTCTAACGCAGTGACTGTTTGGAATAAAGATATATATGGTTCCATCGGTAAGAATAATTTTTTTTTCTCCAAGCTCGTCTCCGTGGGGTTTAAAGGTGTTAGGGCGCTCGGCGTACTAGGCACCTTATTGATTTAGAGGCAAAACTCTTACAGGAGCTTGAATCAGTTCTTGCACAGGAGGAGAAACTGTGGATTCAGAAGTTGAGAACTGATTGGATCAAATTTGGGGACCGTAACACCAAATTCTACCATTCTAGAGCTTCCATTCATCGCCGGCAAAATCGATTTCAAAGTCTCAAAGTCGATAATGAGACATGGTGCTCAGATAACTCGACCCTTTGAATGGAGGTGGTAAATTTCTTTTCTACTCTTTTTTCGACACCTAACGTTGTGCAAGGTCGTTATCCAACATTGGGATATTTTCCTCATCTCGAAGAGCTTACTTCGCCCGCTCTAACAGCCTCTCCTAAAGTTGATGAAATCAAATCTGCACTTTTCAGCATGGCCCCTCTTAAGGCCCCGGGAATTGATGGTATTCACGCCCATTTTTAACCAGACACACTGGGACACGGTTAAGAGTTCTCTTTGCAAATTGATGGAATCAGTCTTTCTCTACAAATCTATTGATCCTGCTGTCTTGCGAACTTCCCTGGTTCTTATTTCGAAAACCAACACTACTGAGAACTTCACTCATTTTTGACATATCAGCTTGTGTTCTGTTTTATACAAACTGATCACAAAGATTATCGTTTGGTGCCTTGGTCATATTCTACCAGCCCTCATCAGTCCGCAACAGACGAGCTTTCTGAAGGGTCGTTGCACTACCAAAAACGTCATCATCAACCAAGGAGTGGTTCATTCTATGCATTTAAAAAAAGGTAAAACTGGTTGGACGATTATAAAAGTAGATTTACAGAAGGCTTTTGATCGTCTTTGATGGGATTTCATTGAAGATACTCTAACTGACGCTGGCATCCCTCAATATCTTATCCGAATTATTATGATTGGGGTCAAAACTTCGGAAATTCAAGTTCAATGGAATGGCTCTTTATGTAGCCCTTTCAAACCTGGGAAAGACATCCCTCAGGGGATCCGCTATCCCCTATTTATTCAATCTTACAATGGAACGTCTGAGTCATTGCATCTCTAATTCTATCTCTTCTAGCATTTAGATAGTTTTCCAATTATCAAGAAATGGCACTCCGATCTCTCACTTATTTTTCGTCGATGATCTCCTCTTATATGCCAAAGCGGATTTGTCTCATGCTGACTGAATTGCCTCGACTCTTGCTACATTCGATGAGCACTCTGGTCACTTGATCAACAAGAAAAAATACGACAATCTTTTTCTCTTCGAATTCCCCAGTTGATCTGCGACTTCGCATTTGCTCCAAACTCGGTTTCACTGAAGTTAGCAACATGGGTAAATATCTCGAGCTGTTGATTCGTCATTCGAGTGCCACTAAAGAACTTTACCAATTCATCCTATAAAGCATCCAAAGGAGACTTGATGGGTGGGCTACCCGTACTCTTTCTTTTACGGGACGTATCATGCTTGCAAAATTCATCCTTCTAAGTATCCCTACTTTTTTCATGCAAGCCTGCAAACTTCCGGTTTCGATTTGTGACAAAATTGAAGGTATGGTGAGGCGATTTATTTGGGGTTCCAATCATAATGGTTTCAACATCTCACTTGTCAAATGAGACACTCTTTGCAAACCTATTGCCCACAGTGGTCTCGGTATCCGCAAAATATGAATCCATAATTTTGCACTTTTGTTTAAAGTGTGTAACACCCTTCTTCAAACCCCGAATGCCCTATGGATCACTCTTTTCCAATAAAAATACAAAGTCGTGTCCCTTTGCCTGACTTCTCTTGCTCGGAATGGTTGTTCTTCGTTCTGGCGTTCTATCGCTGCACTATGGCCTCTCTTTCATAGTCACATTGTGTGGTCACTGGGTAACGGGGACTCTACCCGGTTCTGGCATGATCTCTGGATTCCCAATCTCGGTGTCTTATCAAGCTGTGCTTCTCCTTTAATTCCAATCGACGATGAGCTGAAAGTTGGCGATGTGGCTACCCAGGATGGCTATTGGAATTGGCCCCTGCCATGTTCTTTGTTGGATCCGATTGCATTCCCTCATATTCAAGGTATTCAACCTCCCCTTATTGACGCAGGACTTGACCGTGTTTACTGGTTGGATGCTCCTCGCCATTGCTTCTCAGTTAAGAGCGCCTACACCTCCATTGGCAAGCAAAATTGGAAGGATTGCTGCCTGTGTGCGTACGAGTCATTGCTGCATATCTTACGCGACAAGTTTGGCATCCTTTGGTAACTCGTTATGGTATGGATTCTTTCTTTTTCTTACCTCTCAAGTCCTGGCTTCTCTCAAATCTAAAGGCCTCTTCTGTTTGTGAGGAGATAAATGGGCTGTGGCATGTTTTATTTGCTTCAATAGTTTGGCAAATATGAAAAAACATGAACAATTGGATTTTTCAACAAACTTTAATTGATCCAAGGGCGATTCTTGACATAGCTACCTCATGGAGCCGAGCCTACATAAATGCCCAAAACTCGAGGATCAACAGGATTGCTCTCGTCCCCATATCGGTACAGTGGCCCCCCCCGAATGAGCGTAGTCTTTGTTTGAATGCTGATGGTGTCATCTCCCAGGTAACCAAAACGGGCTCTTGCGGAGGTCTTATTCGGACTTTTGCCGGTGGTTGCTTGGTTTCTTTTCGTAAATATGTTGGCCATGTTTCCGTTCTTGAAGCCGAGCTGTGGGCATTCTTGAGGGCTTCTGCTTAGCTTGGCAGCAAGGCGTCAAACTAGTGATTGTTCAAACGGATAGCAGTGAAGCTTATGCACTCTTGTCTCCTCCGTCAATTGAAAGTTCGTTGACTTTAGTTCGGCTAATAGCAACTCTTTGTCAAAGATCTTGGTCCCTCGATTTCATGAAGATCTACCGAGAGGCTAATTCAGTGGCCGATTTCATTGCTAAAATGGATACCCCTACGGATGGCTCGATTCTTATATTCTATTCTTTTCCTATTCCTTACTTGATGTATTTCATAGGGACATCTTCGGTCCTCCTTTCTTGAGGATTAATAAAGCTCTGTAATGGTGTTCTCGCCTCCTTTACCATTCAAAAATATATATAATTTTCTTAAGAAATTCATAAATAAATACATTAATGATTGTAAAAACTGTATTCTCGTATCAATAGAAGTTTACAAGTGTTAGAAAATATTCTAAAAATCATTAAAAGTGATTTTTTTTATTTATAATTATCATATTTTACAATAGGTTGTGCGAATTTAAAAAAATTCACGTCCACCATACTTACATGACTGTAATAGTATTTGTTATGTCCATAACCGCAATAAACACAATGCGATCGAAAATGTGATCGCAACCATAATTTGAATCCCTGACTCACCCTAAGGCAAACGTAGATCCGATACTGATCAACAAAAGTTTGAGTAACAGTCAATCTTCTCAAATGCAAGGGGAAAAAACTATACTTTCCATGCTCACATGGCTATATATGGCTAATAATTACAAATTAGAAGAGAAGTTAACGCTTTGTGATATCATCTTTCTTGATAGTGAAATCCCAGAGATCTCCATATTTCTCATTAAAATCCCAAATGCTCATGGTGTTGTAGTCATTGATTAACTTATCACGAGCTCCCCTTTCCATGTTATATATCTGAGGCTCAAAGTGGTGAGGCTTATCTGGTTTATCCATCTCTATTATACAGAATATAACCGTAAACACTCCAGCTCCAATGAACAAGTACTCCCCCTACACCATTATTAAATTCATCAAACACGAAAACATTTGGTAATAATCTTATCTACTAAATTAGTTTTACCGGAACATTGAAGAACATTCCAGCTGCAACTGCGGGGAGGAAGAGCCATGAAAGAAGGCCTGCAAGTAGTTGAAAACAATCAATTACAAAATTAATGTATGAAAAGACAAAAAGAGTAATAAAGAATGAAGAGATTTACCTTGGAAGCCTGTGGGTGGTTCAATAGCTTGAATATCATCAGCAATGGCTCCCCAAAATGTTACTGCAACTAAAAACCTTTAACACTACTGTTTAAACAGAAACAACATCAAATTAGGCTCTTTCTAAGTTACCTTTCTCCTCCTCTCCTTCAAAGTAAGTATGGTGCCCATCATACTCTCCATACTTAAAATCTTCCTATAAACCAACAAAACACACATGCATTCAAATCAACCGACACATTTACATAACAAACGCAAATACGGGTATATCCTTGAAGTTTTTTTATGAAGAAATTAAAGTAGAGATGAAATGAACTGACGGAGCTGACGCCATTGGTGGCCCATCTGTCAACAGGGTCTTCATTAAGATCAGGTTCAATCTCGGACAACCCTGCAGCACTCAATCTCGTGAAGCTGATTCGGTTTCTAAGCAGCTTGAAATCAACCTCTCTTTCTCTCTTTTCAAGCTTCTTAAAGCTGATTTTGGGCGCCCAATTTACTGAGACGACTGAGAGTGGTGCATGAATTGCCATTTCTTTTCTCTCTCTCTCTTTGTTTATCTTCTCTCGTTTTTAACGGATTGAGCTTTGGAAGCCTTCTCCATCGTTCGTTTAAGCTATGCTCGTTATCCATTTTCTAGGACGTTTAAACAAGGCCAATAATATTGAAATATAATATTTTAAAATTTAAAATGTTATTTTATAATGAAAAAGTTCCAATGAAATAAAGTAATGGCAATATTTTTTATATAAAAATCACTTATCCAGATGTACTTTGAATAAGATATTGGAATTACTAAAATTCCCAAAAATTTCAAAATTTCCTATTAATTTATCCAAACAATGATAAACAAAAATCTAAGTACATGATGTATATGGTACATTAAGATAACAATTAAGAGTCATTAAAATTAGGGAAATTAATAGTAATGTCATAATAGAGAAAAATAATAATAAATAAGTGTCATTTTTTTATCAGTCGTGACGATATCAAATTCAATCTTAATAAAAAGAATAAACAAAAAACAAAAAACAATCAAACAATAAAAAACATGTCAAAATACATAAAAAAACGTGTTATAAAGATAAAATAAAATATGTTATAAAGACAAATTTATTAAAAACTAAAAAAATCAAGGAAAATCAAAGATATGATATAAGAAAGTAAAGGAAAAATAAGTAAAATCGATGATGATAAACTGCACTCAGGATGATGACGTCGCCTAACAATTAAAGATGAAGAAAAATTAAGTGACTATTAAAGTTTTAGAGAGAATTTTTTTATATTAAATTATAGGATTTATGATAGAGGTGGCAAACGGGTTTGGGTCAGGTATGCATTCAGTTTAAGTTTGATTTAGGTTGGATCAAATATGATTCGATTTTAGTTTGAGTTTATGAAAATTTAGTTTGGGTCAAGTATCGGGTTCGGTCAAAATCGAATCGATTGGTTTTGGGGTAAGGTTAATATTAGATCGATTGACTTCAGGTCAATTTAATATTAGATTGGTTGACTTTGGTTCGAGACAACCATTAGATTTTGGGTCAGTTTGAGTTGGTTTTAATTCAAGTCAAATTTTAGATTTTCAGATCAATATTTGTCGTTCTTTGTCATCATAACTTTCGGTACTGCTCTTGATTACTTATAAATGAATAATTTTATGTGAATATATATTTGTTACATTCCAAATTCAGAGATAGAAGTTTTAGTTTAACTCAATCGAATTAATAAATCTTTAAAATCAATAGTTTTATGTGAACATACATTGTCACAGTCCAAATTTAGAGCTAGAAGTTATTGTATTAGATATAAAGATGATATTTTAACTAAGGAAAAATTATATTTAACCATTAAATTATTACTAGAAGTGGTCGTTAACTAGTAGTATAATATAAAATGAGAATACAACATACATCATTTTACTATTTATTAATACTAAAAATAGATAATAAAAATAAATAAATAATTTATTCACTTAGACTCAACTATCGGGTTAAAATCGAGTCAAAGTTCAATTCAAATCAGGTATGAGTAAATTAAATTCTAGTTGCTTTCAGCTCGAATTACTTTCAATTCGGGTTTTTTTCAGTTCAAGTTATTTTCGATTTTGGTTGCTTTCGGTTCGAGTTGATTTCATTACAGGTTGTCATTTCATTTTGGGTAACTACATGTTTGAAACAAACATCATTTTATGATTTTGGGTGCTTTCGGTTCGAGTTGGTTTCAAAATTAACCTACATGTTTAATATTCTAACTATTATTTTTGTTTTGTTTTGGTCACTCAACTATTTATTTTTAAATCATACAAAATGTTATGTTTTGACCATCCACCATAAAAAAATTAATAGACATGCCATTTAATTTAACATCTTTTAATGATAATGTGGCACTGCCTTATGGTGACACGTCATTATCATCGTTACTTTTTTAATAGTGAGTGGCCAAAATGAAGCCTAAACGTAACGTTAGGTATTATTTTGAAACAAAAATACTTAGGTGACCAAAACGAAACAAAAGTGACAGTTAGAATACTAAACATGTAATTTACCCTCCCTATCTATATTATATTGAGACATTATTTTAAATACTTATCATTCTGAATTAAAATAAATTTTCAAATTACTTTCAATAATAATTATTTACTAGTACAAATAAAATGAAATTACTATTGTACTTTTATAAATTCATTTTCTATTTTGTATTTAATGTTTTGCATTTTTTTTCCAACTGAATTTAAGGTGAATTACATTGTCCTGATTATAGGGTATAATTTTGTTGAGCCTCCTGACTATTAAAAGTTATAAAATTATCATCTATTATTCATATGTTCTAAACTCATCCTTGTTCGTTAAAAATGGGCGGTCGTCTAAGTTGAGCATCAACATGATGGCTGTGATAAGAAAATCAGTTGAGATTTTGCGATCATATTTCATCATATCTCAATCAACAAGTTAGCGTTCAGTTCAGACTGTCGTCAATTTTTTTAATAAAAAAGTATGAGTTAGTCAGATAACAAATTTGAAACTTTTAATAGTCGGGGACTCAAAAAATCAATGGCCTTTAGTTGGGGACCACTTTGTAACTTTTAATAATTGAAGAACTAAAAAAGTAACACCTTATAATCAGAGACCATTTATATACTTTACCCTTAAATAAATGACATCAAGTTTAATAATATATAAATGAAATAGTTTACCTTTAAATAAATGACATCAAGTTTAATAATATATAAATGAAAAACAAGTAAATAAATTAGTACAATTATAATTAGAAAAGGCTTATAATTAAGAGATTTAGTAAGCAACGCCTTTTATTTGTTTATTTAAGTATTTGTGCACGATAAAATTACTTTAGTTGTTAAATGAATAGTTGTTATTTTTGAAGATTTTGAGTTTAAGCATCAACAATTGCAGCAGCGGTGATTGAACATTCATTATTAAATAATTAAGAATATTTAAAACATATATTACTTTATAATCACTTTAACTTAATAAAAAAAATATTTGTACAAATGCGAAGATATAATAATACTCTTGAAATTATATATGTTATCTAAAAAGTATATTATTTTTGTCATTTTTAATTGAGTTGATATCAATTAACTGTGACACCAATTCAGACGATTACTTTATAGTAATTATAGAAATGTATATTTATAAATAGAAAGAAATATTTTATGTAAATAATTCCATTTATGAAGACTTGAAATAGTTCAATAAAATACTTGTTTATAAAAAAATGTTGATCATGTATTTGAATTTTAAATAATGAATTTTAATAATTTTATTTAAATATTTATAAAATCTGAAAATCTGAAAAAAAAACTTAGAAAACTTTAATATACTTGAAAATAGTGATAAATTTGTATAAACTAAATTAGTGTACCAGTTAAATGATGACACTAAAATCAATCAAAAGTTTAATTATTAATATGAATAATTGAAAATAATACATTTTTTAATTTTTTAAAAAATAAAATAATAAAAAAAATTGATTTGTTTTAAAAAAAATAATATTAAAATCTCAAACAAAGTCTTAATTATAATAAAATATATATATATATATAAACTAGTTTTTAGTAAAGTAGAGGGATGAGTTATGTAATTTGACGAGAAATGAAACCCACCTCATGCACATTATGGTACGCAATTAACTGTTAAAAATTTCTTTAAAAAGAATAAATTCCCAGTGACCCTAAACGCAGATTTTCATATTCGATTTCGATCCAAGCTCCAAAGCCACGCACACCTCCAAATAAAGAGAGAAGAAGAAGAAGAAGAAAAAACTCTCAACATCAAAAGAAGAAAAGAAACCCGTTTAAATTCACGTGAAAAATCGGTCAATATTGAAGTGCTTTGGAAAGAAGAAGCAAATAGCTATATTATTTTGTTGCTATTTTTTTGAAAAGCGGGGTTGGTTGGGTCGGAGGTAGTTGACTGTGATGGTAAGAAATGGTGCACGTGGTGCCAGCGGACCTACAGGCGGTGGTGGCGGTGAAGAAGAAGGCGCAGCCGTCTCGGAGTTGGGTCCTTCTCGATAGCACGGGGGAGACCACTGTGCTCGACGTCGACAAGTATGCCATCATGCATCGAGTTAACATCCATGCCCGAGATTTACGGATCCTCGATCCTCTCTTGTCTTACCCTTCCACCATTCTCGGCCGTGATGGAGCTATAGTCTTAAATTTGGAGGTTACATTTGTTTAACATTTTCTGTTCTTTGAACTCTTTCTTTTGCTTATTTGTTTTTTTTTTTTGTGTTTTCTGATTTGCAGCATATCAAAGCAATTATTACTTCTGAGGAGGTTAGTAGGTTTTTTGTTAATTTTGGAATTCTTGATGATATTTGGGAGATGATGCTTGAGCAAGTGTTGCCTGATTGATTGGTTTTTGAGTTATAGCTTTTTGACAGAATATTTTTTTGTTTGTTTCTGTAGATAACGTTAGACCTTGAATTTGTCTGTTTTAATTCTTGGATATTGGATTTGATTCATTTAATGTGTGGAGTGGGGTTTGTTTAGTTTGTTTATAGTGAAATAATTGCAGCTGAAGAGGTTTAGAAATGAACACGAGTGGTACAGCCTTTTATCTGTTAAAACTTGAAACCATTTTCTGGGCTTAGTTCATAATATTGAAGTTGAAGGATGGATTTCTGTGAACACATGAACCTGAAAGAATTTTAATTATGATTTTTGAAACTATAAATTAGTTCCAAGTATGAAGTACTCTGTGTTTTGAATTATATAATCTACTTGTCTAGTCAATTTGTGCTGCTTTGGGTCGTCATTGATTGAGATTACTGTACTTTGTATCTCATAAGCTCAATTATTCTGAGTAGTTACTAGTGTTTTTAATTAGGATTTTTATTGGCAGCTGTTGCAGATAGTAATTTGTGTTGTATTTGAAATAGGTTTTGCTTCGAGATCCATCAGATGAAAATGTTGTCCCTGTTGTTCAAGAACTTAGGAGGCGTTTGCCTCCGGCGAATGTCATACGCCAAGGTCAGGACTATACAAATGGACAAAATGATGTTGAGGGTGACGAAGATGGTACGTGTTGTTAGTTGTGTACATCATAGTGTTTTGATTTTACTCTTTGACATCTAA